ATATGCAATCGAAGATCACCATCGCTGTAACGATGCCACGGGAAGTGTCGCCGGCAACAGCCTAAGATAAGAGTTCGCCGTTGCCAACTCTAAAAATGTCCGTAGAGGATCAATACGCAAACGACAAAAGCTTAAGGCTTCTCTCGGATTGGTGCGAGAGATGATGATTAAGTAATTTTACCAATAAAGGATCACACACCTTTTGTGTGTTTTTAAAATCTTGACAACGAGACACTCGAAGTCAGTACCGCGGCAGTGGTCGGGCTAGTTTCGGGTGGCGCAGCGGCTAGAGAGTGTATCAGCTTTGACGTCATAGCGTCTGACTTATCCTCGTCGTAAATCTATACTCCGGAAAGAATGACAGCCACCTCGCCACTCGCTGTAAGAGGAGTGGAATGTTTACGGCCAGGTGTAACGATCCATGGTCCGAATACACAATGAAAGGTCTACCACCTAGCAGATCGACGCAAAACTTAGCCAGCGCGTACTCTACGGCAAGGCGTTCCTGGTAAGGAAGGGGTAGATGCGTTCAGCGGGTTGCAGCTGGCGAGAATAGTAACAGACGACACGCTCATCTTCTGCGTTATACCGCAAAAATGTACAGCTGATCAAAAGGTTTCTGGCACCACAGGCCAAGTGAAATGCTCTGGCTTGGTCTACAATCCATAAAAACTGACGAACGTATAAATGCTTTCATGATGCCTTCAATAGATTGCTGACATTCCGCTCTCATACTCACTTCTCGTCCTTTTGTATAATTGATACAGGTAAACTTTCATCTTGGCTATATTGCATGAATATAATGCAAATACACCACAAGGCCAATGAACCTTCTATAACTTAAAATCGGTAGGCACAGGCCAGTAGGTGATCGCCTTGACTTTTTCCGGATCGGGCCTGACGCCATGCTTATCCGCATTTGCAAACAAGAAACGGTTATTTCTTGCACAAAGTACATACTTTTCAAGATTGAGCTACAATTGATGGTCGCGTAGTAGTGGTAGGATTTTTTGGACGTGGAGTTGGTGCACTTCCACATCCGTCCATCTATCCATGTTTCGGCTATCAACGAACAAATTTTCGAAGTAACTGGGCACGTGATCGCTTACGGATCTTAGAATGTTCGTTACACATCTGTTGATTGTGGGAGAGGTTTCACTTATCCCTAGTAAATTTACGAACCACTCCTGAGAATAACGTTTAAGGTGCTAACCGAAGTAAAGGGAATGTTCCTATCACGCATTAGGATATGATAGAAATCATCCATTAGATCCATTTATGTAAAATAGTACTTTTAGCCATACCATCTACTATGACATATTTTCTTGGTATGGTTTTAATTCAGTGCAGTGGAAGCGCTCAACGCTTTAAATGCGTGTAATATTCGCCACCCTCCTGTGAATTTCCGCACGTCGAAATTCGGAGAACTATTATAAACGGTGGACTTCCTCACATGGCCGACTGCTAAGAGATACACAAAGAACATGTCGATCACTAGTAACTAATCATGGAACGGTGGACAACGATTCAGGACACAGTACTTCAAACTCGTTTTCAGGTCAATTTTGTTACGAGTACCTTTGTCCTTAGATAGCCTGCACGGGGCTGCTTCTGATCACACACCCTTAATTTCCATTAATACAATCGTAGCTGATTTGACATAGCGATTTCCACGAGTAGGATATATGTCGCTTAATTCGAGTCAATATATCTTGGACACTCTCGCCCATTATTGACACAACACATAATCGTATTACGCTTCCAAAGTTGAACTCAGAGATCACTAAGTTACCCCCGCTCATTCAAAAGAGGTTATATCGTGAAGTGCGTAGTGGCAAAGTCGAGCAGATCCGCGTACTCGTCGCGGAAGTATAGTACTTCAGTAAAATCCGATAAAATAAAGTATCAGCCGAAGATTAACGAATTCATAAAATCCAATAAGGTATTGTGTTTGCCGAGGTTTTAGGCAATAAATCCGATCAACTATTGTATTCGCCCAAGATTAACGAATCCATGTAATGGGGTGCATGCGTTACATTATTGTTTACACAAGCTAAATATCAGGTACGAATACGCGGGGAGGTCAAACTGAATATTTTCACAATGCTGGCTAAATAAAGCAATATTGCGTTACAGAAGTTATGCACTGCTCATTGGCTAACGTAAATTGATTTACCAACCGGAAAAGCTAAGCCACGACAGAAGAACGCAATGAGTGGCGCGCAGAAAGTTACCGTACATGTTTGTATCAAAATATGTAGTTAAATGAAGGCTGCATCGGATTTCTTTACAGGAGGTAAACTATGCTAAATAAATTTCTACTCTACCCTTGTCTCGTGTTTGATTCTTCCTCGGCACGACGCGTGTACGTGAAGTGTCGTAGCACCAAATTACTCTGTACTCAATGTAAGTAGCATGTACTTTGACAGTAAAAGCGACCAGGCATACGTGGCAGCATTTGCAGTCCGTTCAACGAGTAGAAGATGCTGGATAATGAAGCGGGAGACTTCCATCCAACGCAAGCGAGCTACTTTAATTGATTTAAATTGATTGAAATGCTGTCAAACGTTAAATTTTGGCGATAATGCAAGAAGGCGTAGATGCAATGATACCCGCTCTGCCACGAAACTTCACGTATGGTTGATAAATCTTATATCAACGAAACTAACAGCAGCGAATAAATATTATTCAAAATTGGTAAGATGTTCCTTTAATATTATCCATCTCGGATAGTATTGGAAGAATTATGTAACGCTAGACAATCTCCCTATTGACACAGGTTGGTGTCAATATCATGTTACGGGCTACCCCGTTACAACACTTGTCTAATCATTAAGCACCCGTAGATTAATTATAACTGATTGGGATAGGGTGACCACCGTTGGATCACACTGTGAAGGGGAGCACTTGTTGGTCAAATTTCAACTCATTTACCAATTCTTCGCATGGTGTCAAAGTCCCGACGATGTGCTGCCGAGGCAGCAAGTAAAGCGGCTGCACGCATGCGTGCACCCTAAGAAAGTTCTTCTCTAGCTTTAGCAGCAGGTGATACTTCGCCTGCTATTGCGATTCAGCAACAGGCGAAGCCTGTTGCGAATAGTCCGCGTGGTGAGTCACCACGTGCCACAGATAAATCCACTGTGTCTGCAGCGGGTGCTGCGAATCGTAATGTAGACGAGCCTGAAATAGAGCCCATCAATTCTGGCGAGTCGGATGATGCATCCGACTTGAAGGCGACACTTCACGCCTCCGAATAACCCAATGCGGACACTGCAAGAGCCAGGTTGACTGGCTCTTATCAACGTAGCGGTATCATGTCCGAGATCTTCGGATCGAGCGAATATTCCGATAAATACTCGCCTCACGCAAGTCTATCCCAGGATAAGGCGCATGGGGATGTCGCTAATGCACCTATATATCACCACGAACGAAGTAATTTTAGGGATCGGGGTATCTTTGGTGTCAGTGTTCATGCTGGCACCAATCAAGAGGCCAGAGAACGAAATGTCCTGCGCCACGCTCTCCAAGTGGAGTCTCCGTGGATGTCGTCATCCAGAGAATTAAATCAGTTGTCCGGCATGACCACATAACGGTACCAAATCCCGCTGTTCGATTGCAGGAAGATTTGCCCACCTGACTCCAGCACGGAAACCATCCGTGCTGAGAGAGAGTTCTTCACCGATGCCTTTTTTTTAAACATCGGTGGCACAATGGTAGCCGTGTTCAAGACGGCAAATCCTTGGTGCAAGGGTGGGATGACCACATCCACAACATCAAGTGTATTGGCTGTAAAGCTTGGCTCGCCAAACTTGATGCAGGTCGCATCAGGTTTAAAAAACGCAACCCAGTCGGTGCGCGATACAAGTTGCACCGGATTTCAAGAGAGGCAGGATTACCCTGTCTCTCGTGGGGTGATTCGTGTCCAGGTTGCCTAAAACAACCCGAACCGTGCCCCTTAGGGAGGCCTACCTCCCTAGTGATCCCTACTGGAGGGTGCGCATCACTTCTGAGATGGCCGAAGGGATTGACACTTTGCTACACCTGTACTCGCGTTCGGTAAAGTCGTTTTTTGATCTCCCATCATCGAACGCAGCGGGTGAGTTTCGTCATTCTGCTCGACAAGACCCATGAAATCAACAATCTGCTAGGCACGAGGCCCCTTTCTGTCCCACGCCGGTGGATAGCCACGCCAACGGACGGGGTATCTTGTCCATTTGCTATTCACATCGCGGTGGTTCAAGATACGCTCCACTAAAAAGCGATTATCACCGCTTGAGTCCACCAAAGGATGTGGTGGCGGCAGGAACACCTGATCCGGCTCGAGGGTCGGATCAGCTTCTTGTTCAAGAGCTGAACCGTGTACAAGAACAGTTTCAAGATGACCTGGCTCACGAACGGACTCGGCGCTATGAGCTCCTTGATCTTGTAAGAGATAGTTACAATTCCTTCGCGCACGATCGTTCGGACGATCGTTCCGCTTTTGCGTTTGCACAACTTGAGAATAAACGTTCGACTCCTTCTCTTCGTGACGAGCTGGCTGTAGCTCGTCAGGACATCGTGCAACTGCGTGAACAGGTCGCTTCGCTAGTCGATCAGACTGGCTCGTTAAAACGGGACCACTCGAAGGAGTCTAGGCCCTCATCTGCAGAGGTGTTCTTCGCATCTCGAAACGGGCTCGTACTGATAGTACGGGCGGAGATGTCGAACGTAAACGTACGATGTGTACGCATCCTACAGAGCAGTGCAATCGTGTATGCGTTGCGCATTCGGCGCAACACACGATATGGACCGATGTTCTTTTGCAGCATTTTACTGCTGTTTACGTTTGTCACTACTTTTTTCGGTATATTTACTATTGACAGTAAAACCAGGTCTCCTACATCAAATGAAAGAACATTTGCTCTTCCATGTGTGTCTGCGTTTCTCTTCTGTCTGTCTAACGCATCTGCAATAGAGTCTTGGACGAAATAGACAAACGCTTTGCGAGTCAGCAGGAATTTCTAAGCTGATTCGTCCTTGTCAACAGCAGTGCGCTTCGTTTGCACTGCTGAAAGAACGTTGTCTTCACCAGTGAGGGTATCATCGTCCTCACTTTGGCGGTCATTAGCAATGCTTAATATGCCAGCATCGTCGTCGTCGTCATCATCTACATCGATCCCATCGAAATCGGTATCCATCACGTCGACACCATTGTCGACGGGTGATGAGCAAGAATTAGATCGATTTTCATTCGAACGAGTCCACCCCCCCCCATAAACTAGAGTCACATTTAAGAAGGCGGGTATTCGAGGACGGCGTAGGCCATTCACGAAGATCGGTGTATGCGTTGTCGAAGCATTCACCGAGTTGTTGGTGGCGAATTCCGCCATCGGCAAGAACTTACTTCAGCTCGTAAACAAGTGGACATGCCTTCGAAGTATCTCTTCGAGAACGCGGTTGACGCGTTCCGTTTGACTATCTGTTTCGGGATGTTCAGAAGTTGACATCGTCAAACGTGTTCAAGTGAACGGAACACGGATTGCCAGAACTCCGCTGTGGAGCGGGGGTCCCTATCCGACACGAGTTCATGGGGTAACCCGTGAAGTCGGAAGGTAGTATCGATGTAGACACGCGCACAGCCCTATGATGTGATTGAAACCGGTACAGCAACAAGATGTATCATATCGCTAAACCGAAAAACAAACACAAGAATACCAGCATTCTTGTTAGTGTATAAAGGAAACCCGAAGACGAATTCCATCGATACGGACTGCCTGCACTCTAACTAAATTGGTAGAAGCTGCAAGGGTGCACGGGATGAAGGACTAGACTTCACCCGTTAGCAAACTTCGCAAGCGAGAATGCATTGCGCACAGACGCATACTGACGTGGACAGTAGATGCCACGACTCACCGTGAGGTAACTCTTTTCTCTACCGCGATGCCCTTTTGTCGGGGAATCGTGACACTCATACATGAAGCGCAATCGCAAATCATTATAAGCCGGAACGACGACACGAGGTGTGTCGCCGTTGACTGCTGTATAGTACAGCAGTCCATCACGAACCGAATATTGTTCGGTTGAAGAGCGGCATTGAGAAGACAAACTTTTTAAATCTTGATTGCATGGATTGGCTACATAATCCATCATGCGCAGAAGAGGCTCATCTTCTGCGTATGCTTTCTGCACGTCGCCGAGCAAATTCGACTACGGAACACTCACTGTGAGCGTCGCTATAGAAGGATCACCCCTACTGTTGTGTTTAGCAGTCGGCTCAAAATCGGGCCGACGCGAAAGAGCATCAGCGACGACATGAAGTCGTCCTGTTTTAGACTCGACAGCGAAGTTGTACTCCGCGAAGAAAGACAGCCACCTGGACATTCGTTGCAAGAGGTGTGGACTGTTTACGGCCGTGTGTAACGACGCATGGTCGGTACAAACGATGAAGGGCCTGCCTCCTAAGAGATGTACCCGAAGCTTAGCTAGTGCACATTTCATGGCAAAGAGTTCCTTGTCATCCACCGGAAATTACACTCAGCTGCTTGCAGAGGACGCGATGGAAAATCGACGACGCGCTCAATGCCGTTTGAGTCGTGCTGCATTAATGCGCAGCCCATTGCAAAATCGCTGGCATCACAGACCTCATGTAATGGTCTTTCCCGGTCTACAATCGTCAACACAGGCGATTGTATCAAGCTTTCTTTATGCCGTCGAAGGGATGCTGACACTCAACGCTCCATGACCACCTCTTGTTTTTCTTAAGCAGACGAGAGAGATGTACGGTCATCTCGGCATAGTTGCGCGAGTACCTGTTTGAGTACACCGCCAAGCCAAGGATCTTGTGAAATATCTTGACGTCGACTGGCACAGTCCAGTCGCCAATCGCCTTGATTTTTTTCTGGATCAGGGCGTACACCGATTTTACCCACGATGCAGCCAAGAAATGATGTTTCGTTCACTGTGGATATACACTTCTTGAGGTTCGCGAAGAACTTACACTCACGCATGAGTGTAAGGACCTTCCGGACGTGGGTTCTATGAACCTCTACGTCTGTCTTTCCATCCATAGCTCGGCCATGCACAAAGACATCGTCGAAGTAACTCGGTGCGAAATTGCGCACCGATCGCAACACATTCGAAACACACCGGTTGAACGTTGCAGGGGCGTTACTTAGCCCCGGTGGCATCACTAGCCACTCCCTGAGCATACCACTGGGGATGCTCACTGCTGTGTACGAGATGTCTTGTTCACGCATGAGGATCTGATAGAATCCATCATCATATCCATGGACGGAAAGATGGTACTTTTTGCCATACCATCTATGATGACGTCCTTCCTTGGTATCGGCGTTGGAGCCGATACCGTTGCAGCGTTCAATTTGTTGAGCGCGTGCACTATCCGCCACCATCCTGGGGCCTTTCGCATAGGAGGTCGGATAGCTGTGTGGGGATGTTGGTTCCCTCACATGACCAGCCGCTAAACGATCGGCAAAGAATCTGTCGATCGCTGTGAACTGTTCACGAGGCAGTGGCCACTGCTTTATGACACTGTACTTCGAACCGGGTTTCAGTTCGATCTCATGCCGAGTGCCTTTTACTTAGACAGCTCGCATGGCACGGATTCAGGGAAACATCCTTGAATTCAACCAAATACTTATTCATTGGATTTGTCTTCAAAGACCTCCAAGATTGAGACGTGTATCGCTCAATCCGGGTCTTCTCATCGAGGACACTCTCGTCCATAGATGAGCTTCTGAGAACTCGTTCGTTCTCAGCAAACACTAGTGCCGAACAAATATCGACGACGTACTCGTCCTCTGTGACTAGTACGCAGATCTGATTGATCTTTTCACTACGCAGATCTCGCAAGAATCTTTTAGATTCTAGCGTTGGCAACTTGATTACCTCCGAAACTGACTTCGGGGGCGTAACCAGATCAAGTGTATAAGCGCCTACACTTGATCCATCATTCACCAAGACATTCACTGTCTCGGTGATTTCCTGGGAAAACACATCCACAGATGGTTGGGGATCCACACCCTCAACATAACTCTCTCGGGATTTTCACTCTCAGGAACGCTGGAGATTTCTTCCAATAAATGTACTGACTGTGGGTGTACTACCAAAGTCACGTCCTCTTCTATCGACTCTCTTTCAGTCGATCGGGTTTGCTCTACGATCGACTATCTTTGGTCTATCTCGCTTCAACGTGTTGTTCATCCTGAACAACACTAATCTCTCTTCTCGGACGCACCCTTCTTGATGTGCATCCATGTTCCAGTCCACTCGATCTCTTCGAGTGGTGAACCTTTGGCGCAGCCTGTGTCTCTACACAGGTGCCGAAGCTGGTTACACAGTGTAGAGGCCTTCTACACTGTGGTCTTGTGCATTCATACTAACGACCGTACCACAAGTGAGGCCATCGCACTTACTCGTAGTACATACACACGCTTGTAGACGCTCCAAGACGTTCATCAGATGGCCACCTGATGAACAAACGGCAGGCATCTTTACGGATCGATGCTTCCAGCTGACCCATGGCTGGTATTTGCTAAGCCATGGTAGACCGAGGATGACATCAAATTTGTCATCCAAATTCAGTACGATGAAGTCATCATTGCACTGCTTTCCTTCTAGCGTGTAGTGGATTCTCACTACACGTTTGTTCACTGTTACGGATGCGCATGCAGCAAGGCACTCCGTCATCCTCGTTGGAGGGAACTCTCGCTCAACATAGTTGAGCCTCTTATCCTCTAGCGACTGGCGCTGAATAAAACTGTTTGACGCCCTATAGTCAACTAGGGCGCGAAGTAACATTCCACTTGTCACTTCGATCTTCAAAGTGGTGAGGGACACCTCATCACTAGGGGCAGTAACACACAGCGACAGTGTGTTGGGAGCAATCTTCGTCAAGAGTCCTGTAAATTCTTTTGACGTTGCTGGATCAGCAGGTTGATCCGCCCCTACTGACCCTGACCGTTTTTGGCGGTCCGACTTGTTGTCGCGGCTTAGCGACATGGTCGGATCCGCGCCTTGGACCTTTCTTGGGCCAACGGCGGTCATCACGTCCTGTCTTTGGACGTGATGCGGTGCTTTGTACGCTACGCTCATGGGCGTAGTACCCAATCTTCTGACAACGATGGCATCTAGCCGTTCGCTTGTGACTCAGAGAGCGAGGGTTCTCCTTCTCGATGTAACATAGTTCCACTGGTTCGGGACCTCGTGTTTCCTGTCGTCACGTCGGACGATAGATTGACGAGTTATCCTGAGACTGTCTCAGACTGAAGTCTTCTTGTTCCGCATACGCTATCGCCTCTTCCAGCGTATAGAAGTACTCTTGGAACATGTAGGTTTTCACCGGCCCATCTACAAGGCCGTAGATGAACACGTTGATGAGCGTGTGCTCATCAACAGGGTATTTTGTGACGCTACTCGCAAGTCAGCGTAGGTGTTGTGCGTAAGCATGCACGTCTTGCTTACCTTGCTTTAGCTGCAAGAGTGCAGAGCGTGCTCTGAAATCGGCTCTCGGCGGCTCAAACGTCTCTTTAAGCCGAGACTACTGGATCTCCAACGACGCAAACACATTTGGCTCGTGAAGCTTGAGCCCTAAGGCCCAGTCTTTGCTTGTACTGTCAAATTCGACAGTGCGAAGGTGACTTGCATCTCGTCATTTTCGATGTGACGGGCCCTGAAGGCATCGTCTATCTCGACGAAATATCTCAATAAGCAATCTTTGTCGGTTCCCTTGTGCTTTAAGATGTCTATCTATAATGTTTCCGGTCGAAACATGTGCGTCGGCCCGCTTATCGACTGATGAGAGCCTTGCTGCTGTAAAAAGGCTATTTTCTGTTGTATGACGGCAAGTTACCCTAGTAGGAGCTTGTTGATAGCAGCATGTTGCTATTCTCTGTTTAAAGATTACAACATGCCACTGATAGCAGATTCGCTCATGAGCACACTGATGCGGCCGACTAACTTCCATTCTGAGTCACTCAGATGGAAATAGCATTTACGTGTGACGTGAAAGCTGTCGACTTCAACGTGTAACATGTTCAGGTTGAACGGACACTAAGTAGTCGTTGGACGGACTATGAAGTGCTACCAGGTGTACCAGGGCACCCTTTGTTTTGGTGCCACGAAACTTCACGTACACTAGTACGTGCAGAGGAAGCTAATCTATTTAGACGACTCGTTTAAGTAAAGGTAAAAGAAGAACTGTATTAAGTATCGTTAAGCTATCAATGTAACTTTAATCTTTATCGAACCAAATTAACTACGTCATCGTAAGACGACAACCTGCTCACCACTCATTGCGCGCATCTACTAACGATTGGTGGTAACCTTGGTTGATATGTCTTATATCAACCTATCTTTGAGCTGCGCATAAACATTACCTTAACAGGGTATGATATTCCTTCAATATTATCCACCTCTCATAATATTGACAGAAAAGTGTCATAGTTGACAATATCTCTATTGACACCGTTTGGTGTCAATATCATGTAATGGCCTACCCCGTTACAGACAAGTTACCAATCTTCGTCAATGACATACTTGATCTCAAAACCCGAGCCAATGACGTGCAACTAATCTTTGCCAACAACCTGATTGATCACGAAAATTGTGAGCCATTAACATGCAACTAATCTTCCCCTATCACCTTTAAATTAAAAAAAAATCATGAGCCAACAACATGCAGTCAAAGAGTTATCTCGGGTGTCACAGAACTACATAACGTAGATGGGGCCTGGAAAATAACTATCTCGAGTTTTCCCCGAATTTAATGGTGCTGTGGCGCCCTTTGACGAGTACAGTAGAGTATCCTTTATTTAATATGGTTGGGACCACCAAATTTTATTTTAAAAAAGCAATACTGAATAGCAGAGTTAGGGGGGAAGTGAAGGGTGCTACACGTGTTAGCAAGGAGGGCGATAGCGTGGGCGCACCGCCCGTCCCACGTCGGAATGCGGCATCAATGCTTGCAGAGCTCAATACTGTCTGGATGCAGCATGAGACTTGAGAGGAGTTCTCAGGGATGATTCAAAAATGCAGGATTATGTGGAGAACCTTCAGCATTAATATTCTAAGCAAAAAACTCTGGATAGTTTTGTGTAGTGGTCCCCGGCAATTATTTAATGTGTGTAGGCGGTGGAAAACTTCTTTGGCTTTAATAATAAATACTCAGGGATCCCTATAATACTTGGCCTGGCCCCAACATGGGACGCGACGTACTTCCAAGTAAGGAAGATTATTAACTCTAAGCTTAACAAATTATGAAGACTCTACTGTATGACTAAATAGCGTCTTCAATTGGACAGAAAGTTAAGTTATACTGACTGCTGTAGACGCTTTAACCTGTCCCCATTATTCGGTCCTAACAGCCGCGATTTTCTCTTGTTTGCCCCACGCTCGCCTTGCTTCTCCTGATCTCACTCCCGCCTGACGAGAGCAACGTCATTTGTCGCAGCTGCCGCCTCTTTGATTACAAAACAATCGAATGTTCGACGGCAGCTTCAAAGCTCCGCGTCAAGTGAATCTCAGTGGTCGTAAGAAGCCTCTGACGACGTCGATATCAAGTTTTAAAGGTCGAAATGACGGGTCAAAGGACGAACTCCTGCGCACGAATCGATCGGCGAGGGAAGAACGACAGGCAATAAAGATACGCACAGCTGCGATTGCCAAGATCCAGGCCCAATTCCGTCGTGTCCAGGCTTCTCAAATCGCTCGCGCTGCTGTAATGCACAATCTAGAGTATCAACTTTAACGGGCAATGCTGACAATTGATATTCAGCATCAAGCGTTGTGTTGTCTATCCAACAGCTCCAGCTGATTCTGAGACGGTTTTTGTTCGCGCGCTCAAGTAAAAAAAGGATGACTATGGCTACGGAACCAAAATTAACACAGCCTTGGCAATTAGAAACGGACCAAACGGGACGGAAACTCCAGGATTACGTGGTGTTTCTATTGCTTGTCAGCTGTCTCAAGGGATCGTCCGACATGGCTACAAATTGGTTGGCGGTAAAAAAAGATACTACATGGGTCTACCAAGTGTCGCAAATGAGCGAAATCGCCTTGTATACACTCGTGCACGACGAACTCGTGACGTCAAATACAAATGCTCATGTGGCAGTGAACCCCTATCTGAAGCTGCTAGACACGCTAACGAATGCGTCAACGTACAAGACACTTGAAGATCAAAAAGTTTTGTCAGACGTGTGTTTTCACCTCGGAATCTCAAGGCGGTACAGGGTTTTTCGATGCAGTGACTGCGTATATCACGGTCCAGGCAGAAGAAAAACAATCACGTGTGGAGGTCGACAAGTCGGTGCAAGTCATTGCACGTATTGCTGCACGAACGCTGCAAGTGGCGGCCAGAGAAGAGGAAGCACAAGGACGAGATGCTGGTCTGCTATCGCAATTTGTAAAGAAGTTGTTGTTGACACCGTCAGCAGTGACGTGTCCACTTACGAGTTACGTTACAATGACAGCATTGTCAATCAAGACCATTCTCGCGATGCAACATTTTGAATGGCGGGACTTTTTTGGGCACGTGTAGTACGTCATTTTTGCATTGCCTCGACGGTGGCAGCACTTTCGTGGTCAAAGCGAGCCATTTGTGTTGGAAACGTGTCAGAGATCGCGTTTCATTGCTCGTTTGATGGAGCTTTTGTGGAAGTTATTTCGCTCGTACTGTCTCAGTTGATGACTTTATCACTCGTGCAATGGGCGTTTGACGTAAACGTTTCAAGCAAGATTTGTTTATGAACAACGAAGATTATGACATGGATGATGATGGAAACGTACCAAGTGTTTTGTTGTCCATTCAAGACTTTGCACTGGACGAAGAAGTGCAGCGCAGCGTGAGAGACTTCCGTGACGCTATGCCTAGTGTCCGTGCGCAGTGGCAAAAGCTTTGCCATTCAAATTTTGCTCCGCTGTGTCTCGATGTGCTGCAGCGTATGAACAACGGGACGCTGGACCTTGTGTTGTCAGGCAAGAGTCTTGTTTACCGGTTTTGCGACGTTTTTGCTACTTTGATTTTGTCAACAGGGCGGCCTCACGTCCTTACTGTAGCGGCAAATTTACGAATCCTCCTCCGGCTTTGCTTGCGTTGCTGAGTGCGATGACGGTCGAGCAGAGTCCTGGGAGGTCCGCCATTCCCTCAAGCAATACAAATCTAGTCGATAGCATGTGGCAGATAATGAGTTCAGCGATCAAGAGCAGCACTTCCCAGCACCTGGCGCCGCTTTTCGGAGAATGCCCGCTTGATATAACGACGGTGCCGTTGCAGGTGCTCCTTATTTTCAACGTCATCTATTCTCACATGCTTTTGGGACTTGACGATGAGGCATTTTACGATGGGCAATGGCCACTTCGTTTTTGTGAAGTCAAAGCCTTGGTGACATTTTTGAAACAATTTGTTACGATGCGTGTTGGATAGTTAATGGCAACAATGCACTACCGACTGGCACCATGGACGAAAGAGACCTCGTGAGATTCGCTGTGGTTGTGACATCCGTTAAGCTGTTCAGCCAGCTCTATGATCGGGATTGTCGGCATCGTTTCATGCCTGATGGCGCGTGGTTGTGGCCTTTGATGCCTACGATCAGGAAAGTTGTGGACCTTGAACTGATGAATGAGGATGGTCCTCACGGTGCGGACGCGACCTACATGCTGATGAATGGGAAAACGCCTTCTCCGTACGCACGTGCAGCGCTGATCCTTGTCACGATTCCGCAAGTTTTGTCGTTCAATGAACGTATCCAGCTTTTTCAAAAGTTGCTGGACGATGCGAAGGCGCAAACAGGCAACACGCGCGACGAATTTTCACGGGCTTTGCAGGTTCGCATCCAACGCCATGTCTCCTGCAGCCCTCAAGTCGCGCATCAAGGTCACATTTATCAACGAGCAAGGGTTCGAGGAGGCAGGTATTGATGGTGGTGGTGTGTCCAAGAAATTCATGGACAATTTGACGAAGAGTGCTTTCTCACCAGAGTTCGACTTTTTTCCAGAAACGGATGATCATCTCCTTTATCCTAACTCAAGAGCTAAGTTCATTGTGGACAACGCACAAAGAAGCGTTAGAATGCTACCGATTTCTGGGGCGACTCTTGGCGAAAGCTGTATTTGAAAACATTCTCGTAGAGCCACAGTTTGCCGCATTTTTCCTCAACAAACTCTTAGGCAAGTTCAACTACATTGATGACTTGAACTCGTTGGACCCGGAGCTATACACGTCGCTTATGCGCCTGAAGCACTACGATGGTAACGTGGAGGACCTAGCGCTGACTTTCAGTGTGAGCGAGGTGCAGTTAGATAAAGTAGTGACACGAAATCTCTTGCCGGACGGCTCGAAGGTCCCTGTTACGAAAGAAAATCGGATTCGATACATCCACTTGATGGCGAACGATAAGCTGAATGTGTTGACATCCATTGAATGTGCTGCGTTCCTAATGGGTTTTCGTGACTTGATCCCGGGGACATGGATTCAAATGTTTGCACCTGCCGAGCTGCAGATGCTAATCGGCGGCACTGCCACCAATATCGACATCGATGACTGGGAGCGCCACACGCAATACGGAGGTGGCCATCACCCGTCCCAAAAAGTTATCCAAGGTTTTCGAGAAATCGTGAAGGAGGATTTCACGCATGAAGACCGTGCAGCGCTGCTCAAGTTTATCACGAGTTGTTCCCGTCAACCTCTGCTTGGCTTTTTAAAATTGGTGCCTCATGCTCTACACCGACTTCTTCTCGACGCTCGTGCTACCCACGCGTCCGTCGTCGCATCTCAGCGTAGCTGAGCAGCACCAGCATTTGGCCTCACTCGTTTGTTATTCGTCGAAAACCCCCTCCTATTCAACCAATCCACAGCCCCGAACCACCTAACCCCTAACCACAATAATCTCTACCCCACCTCTTCGTATCGCCTTTTGCTGCAGCGCTGACCTCGACGTCTCCGTTCCAGCTGTCGCCCTCGTGCACCAAGTCGAACTCCAGCAACAGTAGCAGTAGCAACAGACGCAGCTCGCGATCACGTTTCTGGCTTTACGGTGCGCCATCACGAGCGCATCGACTCGCTTCAGGAGCTCCAAGAGAGTTTCGTCTACTACTTTTCCTCAGGAGCTGCTGCTTAGGAGAGTATAAGCTCGTCCGCTGCGTTCCACGAGCTAATGCTCTGCCATACGTCTAGCGGAATGTGGGCGGCAATGCCGCGACCATGGCTGCTCGAGCGTCGGCTGAAGGGTGCACTGTGCTCTCGGGCGCGGCTATAGGCGTCCATTTGAAGCAGTACTTTGACGACCCGATGATTTAGCTTGTAGGGGCCATTGAAGGAGAGGAGAAAGAGGACGTGCACTTGGTGCTCGAGTACGGACGTGGTGACGCCTTTCGAGGCCATGTGTCGCCACGGGTGAATCGCTTTTATTTAAACTATGACGTGCACAATGCGCGGCTGTCGGTGCTTGAAGAGTTCATGCGAGCGCTCGAGACGTTCGAGCCGGACTTGGTCGTCTTTGGCGGCTTGCAGCTCATAGAAGTTGAGCAAGATGTACGTGCACGGGTCCTGCGTCTCGAAGCACTGGCCGGGGTGTTGCAGAATTTGTATGCAGTTGATACACCCACGCATTATGAGTTTGTCGCGATGTCGGACTTTGGGCTGTTTTCTGACACGGTGCGCTTGGTGCTGCCATGGGTGGATTCAATCGGTCTGAACGAGCAGGAGCTGTTTATTCTGCACCACTTTTTAGTGACGGGGAAAGAAAGCACTGCGACAACGTCTCGACCGACGATTGCTGAGATTAGTGCACAGTTGCATGACATTATCCAGTTTGCAAAGGATGCGAGAGAGACGGTTGAGACAAGCAGACGGGGGAAGGAGGACGATGGAAAGCACGAGGTGACGGTGGCGTTAGCGCATTCGTCGCGGATTCGTTTCCATACGCTGCAGTTTCATGTTGTATGCCAGAGGAAGAAGGGTATCTGGGAAGACCCGACTTCAGCATTGGTGCAGAGCGCACTGATTCGTTCCAAGGTGGCGTGTGGCAAGCCGCCGGTCCCAAGGTGTGGCAGTGCTTCTGATGACGAGAACGAGGCCCAGTCGATGCGAACTAGCGCTGAAATGGAAGTGGACCCGGAACGGGTTGAGACGCTGCTGGCTCGTGAGCAGCTATTGAGCGAACGTCAGGATCACAAAGTCGACCTGGATCCATTGTCGCCAGTCATTACAGGGCAAGAAGCTGACTTTCAGTGCCACCTGGTGCCAATGCTAGCTTGTAAAAAGCCTGACTATACTACTGGACTGGGCGACAATATCTCTGGTACGGGCATCGCCTACCACCGCCTTCAAAAGACAAAGACCAAGACTGGTGTCTTTGCTGAATAGACGAAGCAACCTTCGCAGCAAGACTTGCGCGTGAGTTGTCTGATTGTATAGCATCCTAACTGCTCGTTGGCTCTATCTACTATCAAGTTCTTTACTCCTTGACCGTGATCTCTAGTTGCTTGCTTGCAGTGCATGAGCTGGAGCCAAACCTATCCGTCATGCATCGAAACCACGGCCAGATCTTCGTCTCACGCATCACGTCGTTGTACGTGTCCAGGCCGTGCATCGCACGAAGGACACCAAAGACCGAGAGGTCTGCTTTGTTCGGTTCATGCCCTCCAAGAAACGGGCGCTTGTCACCCACCGCATCAACCCAGCTATTCAGAGCCGCATACAGCGCCAGTCGCTTATCGTCAATACCGTATTTCTTCTTCAACCGCTTGGCAATGAGGTACATCACCATTGCCCCGACGTACTTGGACAAGTGAAGTTCCATGGACGTGAAGTTTCCAGCTGTCAAGCAAAAGTCGAAAGCCTGCAGCGCCTCCGGCAGCGTGCGATAGATATTGGGAGGGGCCAAGACAATGAGCTTCGGTCGACCCATTGGCACCACTGGGCTTCCTCCTCCTGCGGCTCTTTATGCTCAAGCTGTGAGCTTTTAGCTGGCACGACTAGGTCCCACAGTCGCGCGATAATTGCCGCAGATTCTACGACCATGTCATTGCCGATAGTGACAACTGGCACCTTGGCATACTTGGTCACAGCTTTGGTCTCCTTCTTGGTCAGTGGATTGACTTCCACCACGTCGTACGGGAGCTTGAGGTAGTCCAGTACAGCCTTCACCTTGCAGCAATAGGGACACGGTTCGTACTGATAGAGCACCACCTTTGGCACTGCTCTATTCGTATTGACCGTATCCGTAACTGAAGCAGCAGTCGAGCAAAAAGCATACGAAGCACTCGTGCTTACTGCAGTAGCGGCCACAAATCTCCATTTTTGAAGCAATAGCGATGCGGAGCCCGAGGTATGAGACTGATAGCTAATCGTTGTGGGAACAAAGCGCTTGGGTGCCGATGGACGTGCGAGGGCCAACGACGTAGAGCGCAATCCGCAGGCGAGACGTGCGACACTACGATGTAGCATACTTGAGAATGGGTGGTGGAGATTGAGCACTCTTATTAAAAGCCGATGCGGCAGTTACAGCAATCGACCACTGTAACTGAACGTGATAGAGTTAGCCTGTAAAATATCGCACTGTAACTCAATAAGTTGGACTGAGTAGCCGCCGAAAGCGAACGCATCTGGCTGGACAGACACGCTCAATAAAACATCCCATGGCCGTCGGGGGTAATCGAAAAGTGCTCCTCGGGACAAACCTTCGTATCGCCACGATGCTGACTTGCTTGTAATAGGATGAGGCTACGAACAATTGTGCCAAGTAGTCGAGACTGTCGCACTAGTAGCTCGACCGAAACTTGACGTGATAAAATCCCTTGGACGAATGAGGTAGGGATCGCCAGCAGGGGCAGCATCATCCAAAGGATTGTGTACGCAGTAGCGACTACCATCGAATATCCTACAACTGACGACAACACAAAGGTGTCAAGGACGACCTCCCTACCTGAAGAGCCGAGGTCGCCACTGTGTTTTCTCGACAGCTGTGACAACACGAAACTATACCAGCCTCAAATTGATCCGATCGCGGGACAGCCGCCGGTAAACACATGCACTGAAGATAGTCTACTAATCAATTAATCAAATAATTACCACCGTCTAGTTACCACCACGACCATTGACCACCGGTCAGCATTCACCACGCACATTGCGGGAAACAAGCAGGAACGATCGATCTAGTCGGTAGAAAGTGCTGAAAGACGCTGCACGTTTCGACCACTTTAGTCTCTTTCAACGTCGATTCGAACCAGCTTGCTGGACTGATGTGATCTCTCGATATCGCGACCGCTACGAAGGACGCGTTGTCCAGCTAATCTCTCTTCCAGTTTATTTTCGAGATAAGTTTATTGAGATTCCTTTAATTAATAGGGGTGACACGGCACCCAAACGAGCTCGTCAGTGTACCTGAGTAATCTAAAATCAGTTGGCTAGAAACTATATGTCTGATTCCTTTTATAACCAACGAAAAAATCCTGGCAAGCAACAGAGACCTCAAATTAACTTCATAGTAAGCTTTTAAAAATTGGTGACTGAAGGGTACTCGCACTGACTTTATAGCATAGCTTAGCAATCTAAAATCGTTGGCTTGAAATCCCTCTCTCTAAACTCACAGTAAAGCTTAGATACCAAAACTATGTGGCTACAGGGCACTCGCACCGACTCCATCAAATAACTGAGCAATTCAAAACCAGTGGCTTCAAAACTCTTAATCTGATTCTTGGTACTGCCAATCAAACGAAAATGCTGGCCACAGAGATGCGAAAACAATTTTTAGTAAAGCTCTATTAAAAAAGTGACTCTACGGCACTTGCACCGACTCCATGTGATAGTTTTGTAATTTAAAAATCGGTGGCTGTAAAGCCCCTGATCTGATTTATTATAGCCAATAAAATGATAATGGCTTGGCCACAGAAACCTTCACTATAATCTCATAGTAAACCAATGATAAAAATAAGTGGCGACAGGGTCCCCAAACTGATTTCATTGTATAGCCAAGTCAACAAGAATCAGTGGCTATGACGCCTCTGTGCTGATTTCTTTAAAAGATGAACAAACATACTCGAGGATATTTCGGTCCTTACAATTGGAGATATTGGAGCACGAAAGACGGCTAATTTAGCTCATTTATCGTTTCGCTTTCATCTGATCACTCGTTCCAACTGCCCAGGCATGCCATCTTTCCACGTGTTGGTCCTCCTTGTGAGTGCAGTGCTTCTGCTCAACCGTGCTTGTTGTTCAACCCCAACCGAACCAATGGTCGCAACGTCTGATGATCAAGCTCAGAAATATACGACCGTCTACAGTTCACAGAGTGTGTACGCGTCAGATCAAGTTCTGGAGGCAAGGGCTGAAGTCTCCAGCACTTTCTTCCGTAAATTGGCCGACTTGTTTAATGCGATCTTGGCCAAACTTGCTCAGCTCATCAGACTATCTCGCCGTCCTTTCAGGACGGAAAATAACGAAGCTCTTGTCGTCAATGCTGCTCCAACCGAACCACTTATTGAGCCGCTCCCGCTAATGCGCCGTGTGTCCAACTGGAAAGCCATTAAGGCTTATCTTAACATTGAGACTGTGTCCGGTGGTCTTTTATCTCGAAATGGACATCCACTTGTTGAAACCAATGGTGCCGCAGAGATGTTAGCGTCCTCAACCCTCTCCCCTAGTGCATACGAAGATGCTTTAAAGCAGTACGAGGAGAAGGCAGGGAATGAAGCTGACTTTGCCATGTTCTTGTCACTTCGTTCGCACACCAATAATGCTGGTCTCGTTTCCATCGTCTTTAGCGCATTACGTACTGATGACTATAAAGAAGAGGCTAAAAGGTTGATGATCTACATGTTTCAAGAGTGGTACATGACGGGTTGGAGTCCTGAATTGGTCAAAAAAAAATTCATGGGACATGTTGACGCGGAAGATGAAATGTTTGTCGATGCGTTCATCCTCCTGTACACCAGGTATTGCAACTTGAGCAATAAGTTTTTTCTGGACGCCTAAAGTACATTTTGCACTGTCATTTCCCTGACATTTACTTTTTATAATAGTCTTGTGTTTCCGTCTATTGAATATATACTATGTTTTGCTCCTCGCTTTTCGTCCTTTGTCGTTGTTTGACGTAAAACTCTGGAAAGGGTATGTTTTGGGCCCGTAGTTTAGAGCTGCTATAATTAGGGCTAAATGGATCAACTTCGGAACACCATGATTAGGCAAGTGCATCTAACCACTTTGTGGTCTAGTCTGGCAGATATAAACCGTTTCAAATGTATTCGTTATGTAGAGATCGATAGGAAGGTTACTACAATCGATATAATTCTCAGAAAATCATCTTTACATATATAAATTACATGGATTCACTCGCATAAAGGGATATCAACTAAAGGTCCATGACATCATAACAGACATTATCCTTTTGTATCAAGTTCATCGTTGTTATCACTTGCTACAATTTTTTACAGATTAAAAAGTTGTTTTCAATAACTATGTCTCACCAGCTATATAAAAAATTTATTGTTATTATTAAAGATCCACAATGCAGGTTCTCTCTGTGCTGGGTGGATGAGCCGGCTGGACACAACTAAATGTGTTAATAAATGGCGTCTCAATGGATCTATCAAGTCACTACGTCGAAGAAATGTGATATGCATGCACAATACAATGGGGAAGCCTATTACATGATATTGGCACCAAACTGTGTCAATAGGGAGATTGTGTAGCGTGACAAATATCGAATGATATTATTCGAGATGGATAATGTTAAAGGAATATCATGCCCTGTTTGGATAATATTCATGTGCTGCTCACAGATTGGTTGATACAAGACATATCAATCAAGTTACCACCTTTCGCTGCCAGACGCGCGTAAAGAGTGGTGAGCAGGTTGTTGTCATACGACGACGTAGCATAATATAGTTAGATAAAGACTGAAGTTGTATTGATAGCTTACCTAAATTAAAACAATTCTCTTTTTACCTTTACTCAAACTAGTGGTTTGCGCAAGTTTACATTCCTCTGCACGTACTAGTGTACGTGAAGTTTCGTGGCGCTCCGAACAAAGGGGGCCCCGTTACACCTGACTGCACTTAGTAGTACGTCCAACGTCTGCTTAGTGTCCGTTTAACATGAACACGTTGGACGTAGAAGACGACAGCTTTCACGTCACACGTGGAGGCCACTCCCATCTGAGTGACTCAGATTGGGAAGTAGTCGGCCGCATGAGTTTGCTCATGGGCGAACCCTCCATCAGTGGCATGTTGGAGTCTCTAAGCAGAAACCAGCAACATGCTGCTATCAACAAGTTCCAACAAGAGGAACTTGCTGTCGAACGACTAAAGATAGCTGTTGTAAAACAGCAAAGCTCTCATCAGTCGATGGGCGGGCCTATGCACACGCGTCGACCCGAAACTTTAAAGATAGACATCTCAAGGTACAAGAGAACCGATGAAAATTCACTTTCGAGATTGTTCGTCGAGATAGACGATGTAACAAGGTACCATTTGTTTCAAGTGCCACAAAACTTTGCGTACAATAGTACGTGCAGAGGAAGCCAATCTTCTCGAACAGCTAGTTTTAGTTAAGGGTTCAAAGAGAATCGTATTTAACATAGTCAATCTATTAGCATAACTTAGGTCTTAATTCACTGTAATAATTAATATTGTCGTATGACGACAACCAACTCACCACTCATTACGCGCGTCTGGCAGCGATTAGTGGTAACCTTGGTCAATATGTCTTGTATCAATCAATTTGTGAGCAGCACAAGAATATTATCCTAACAGGGTATGATATTCCTTCAATGCTATCCATCTTGGATAATATTGGAAGAATTTTGTAACGGTGGACAATCTCCCTATTGACACAGTTTGGTGTCAATATCATGTTACGGGCTACCCCGTTACATCACCCGTCTAATCATCAAGCACCCGTAGATTGAATTTAACTGATTGGGATAGGGTGACCACCATTGGATCACTCTGTGAAGGGGAGCACTTGTTGGTCAAATTTCAACTCATTTGCCGATTCTTCGCATGTTGTCAAAGTCCATGCGATGTGCTGCCGAGGCAGCAAGAAAAGCGGCTGCACGCATGCGTGCAGCCTAAGAAAGTTCTTCTCTTGCTTTAGCAGCAGGTGATACTTCGCCTGCTATTGCGATTCAGCAACAGGCGAAGCCTGTTGCGAATAGTCCACGTGGTGAGTCACCACGTGCGACAGATACATCCACTGTGTCTGCAGCGGGTGCTGCGAATCGGTAATGTAGACGAGCCTGAAATAGAGCTCATCTATTCTGGCGAGTCGGATGATGCATCCGACTTGAAGGCGACACCTCACGCCTCCGGATCACCCAAGGCGGATACTGCAAGAGCCAAAATGACTGGCTCTGGTCAACGTAGCGGTATCATGTCCGAGATCTTCGGATCGAGCGAATATTCCGACAAATCCTCGCCCCACGCAAGTCCATCCGAAGATAGGACACATAGGGATGGTGGCGATGCCTCTGAGCATCACCACGAGCAAAGCAACTCGAGGGATCAACCTTCCACCGGTGTCAGTGCTCACGCTGACACCAATCAAGAGGTCAAGGACTAAAATATCCTGCGCTACGCCCCCTTTAAAGTGGAGTCTCCTTTAATGCCGTCATCTAAAGAGTTACATAGAGAGGCCGGCATGACCGCCGAACGGGATCGAAACCCGTTATTCGACTGTAGGAGGATCTGTCCTCCTAATTTCAGCACGGAAATTATCCGTGCTAAGGAAGAATTCTTCACCGAAGCGTTTTAATCATCGGTGGTAAAATGGCAACCGTGGTCGAGACGGTACAGCCTTGGAGAAAGGATGGAATAAACTCATTAACAACCGTAAGTGCACTGGCCGTGAGGCCCGTCTCGGTAAACTTGATTCAGCTCGCATCAGGTTTGAGAAGCATAACCGAGTCGGGGTACAGTACAAGTTGCACCGACTGTCAAAAGAGGCAGGATTACCCTATATTTCGTGGGGCGACCCATGTCCAGGTTGCCAGGCCAACTCGAATCGTGCCTCTACGGAGGCCTATCACCATAATGTTCCCTACTGTAGGGCGCACATCACTTTCAAGATGGCCGAAGGGATAGACACTTTGCTATCCCTGTACTCGCGTTCGGGGAGGTCGTTTTCCGACGGCCCTTCTTCGACCGCAGCGGGATGGTCTCGTCATACTACTTGAAGAGACCCAGGACATCAAAAATTAGCTAGGCGCGGGGCTCCCAGATAGACCAGGCCGGTGGATAGCCACGCCAACGGACGAGGTATCTCGTCTGGACGCCCTTCACGTTACAGTGGTTCAAAGTACACTCCACCAGAAAACGTTGACCACCGCCAGATCCACCAATGGATGTAATGGGGGCGGGAACACCTGATACGGCTCGAGGGTCGGATCAGCTTGATGTTCAAGAACTGAACCGTGTAACAGAACAGTTACACGATGACTTTGAATCATGAACGGACTCGGCGTTATGAGCTCCATATTTTTGTAATAAAATATTACAATTCCTTAGCGCACGATCGTTCCAATGATCAGCCACGTTTGCGTTTGCGCAACTTGAGAATGAACGTTCGACTTCTTCTCTTCGTGACGAGCTGCGATCACCTCGTCAGGACATCGTGCAACTGCGTGAGCAGGTGGCTTCGCTAGTCGATCAGACTGGCTCATTAAAACGGGACCACTCGAAGGTAGTCTAGGCTCTCGACCGCGTAGGTGTTCTTCGCATCTCGAAACGGGCTCATACTGATAGTACGGGCGGAGACTTCCAACGTAAAAAGTAGGATGCGTACGTATTTAAATGGGCAGTTCAATCGTGTAAGCGTTGCGCATTCGGCGCAACACACGAAATGGACCGATGTACTTGGGCAGTAATTTACTGCTGCCCACGTTTGTCACTGCGTCTTTTGGTATATTTACTATTGACAGTAAAATTAGGTCCTCTACATCAAATGAAAGAACATTTGCTCTTCCATGTGTGTCTGCGTTTCTTTTCTGTCTGTCTAACGCATCTGCAATAGAGTCTTGGACGAAGCGGACAACCGCTTCGCGTGTCAGCAGGAATTTCTAAGCTGATTCGTCCTTGTCAACAGCAGTGCGCTTCGTTTGCACTGCTGAAAGAACGTTTTCTTCACCAGTAAGGGTATCATCGTCCTCACTTTGGCGGTCATTAGCGATGCTGAATATGCCAGCATCGTCGTCGTCGTCATCATCTACATCGATCCCATCGACATCGGTATCCATCACGTCGACACCATTGTCGACGGGTGATGAGCAAGAATTAGATCGGCTTTTATTCGAACGAGTCCACCCCCCCCCCATAAACTAGAGTCACATTTGAGAAGGCGGGTATTCGAGGACGGCGTAGGCCATTCACGAAGATCGGTGTATGCGTTGTCGAAGCATTCACCGAGTTGTTGGTGGCGAATTCCGCCATCGGCAAGAACTCACTCCAGCTCGTAAACGAGTGGACATACCTTCGAAGTATATCTTCGAGAACGCGGTTGACGCGTTCCGTTTGACCATCTGTTTCGGGATGGTCAGAAGTTGACATCGTCAAACGTGTTCAAGTGAACGGAACACGGATTGCCAGAACTCCGCTGTGGAGCGGGGGTCCCTATCCGACACGAGTTCATGGGGTAACCCGTGAAGTCGGAAGGTAGTATCGATGTAGACACGCGCACAGCCCTATGATGTGGTTAAAACCGGTACAGCAACAAGATGTATCATATTGCTAAACCGAAAAACAAACACAAGAATACCAGCATTCTTGTTAGTGTATAAAGGAAACCCGAAGACGAATTCCATCGATACGGACTGCCTGCACTCTAACTAAATTGGTAGAAGCTGCAAGGGTGCACGGGAAGAAGGACTAGGCTTCACCCGTTAGCAAACTTCGCAAGCGCGAATGCATTGCGCACAGACGCATACTGACGTGGACAGTAGATGCCACGACTCACCATGACGTGACTCTTTCCTCTACCGC